CTAGCACTGCCAATCATCGTCCCTGTTGACATTTCCTGAAACATACAATAGTTGGGAAAGAAGTCAGCATGACAGTGTTTATCCTTGGTCAATTTTTGCACAGATAACATATTACACTTCAATTTTGGAACATGCAGAACAGAATGAAGAACCAGCTTATCGGAAACTTTTATGTCTCCAACACCAACGACTGGAGATACTGTAGCGTCAGCAATTTTAACCTTAAGGGAGCCACTATATGGAGTATATGTGGAGAATAATTCTCGATTATCCGTCATGTGATCAGAAGCACCTGAGTCCACAATCTAGGGATTTGCAATACACAGGTGCTGAATGACATGTAAGGTTTGTAGGAAGTTACCTTTGTGGACTACCGTGGTTGTTGGCTGTTTTGTGCTAGGCATGTGGAGGGTATTAAGAAATTCCATGAATTTGGCAAATTGTTCAGGAGGGAACTGCTGGGTGGCTAGATGTACTTGAGGTATTGTGGGCCTATCATCACTCTTTTCTGTGCCAATGTGATAACCACGACCCTTGGCTTTTTTGGTTTCCAGTCTGGGGGTTTGCCATGAATATCCCAACAGGTATCTTTGGTGTGACCTGTCTTTTTACAGTGTTCACAAGTTGGTCTATTCTTCTGGCCTCTTGGATCTGCACTTCTAGTGACAAGTGCTGATGGTTCTGGTGCAGTAGTGGTCCCCTTAGCATCAGTTTTCAGCATAACACGCCGACGTGCATCTTCACGTCTTACTTCAGCAAATGCTTCACGGACAGATGGTAATGGTACGAGACTCAGGATCCTCCCCCTTACCGCATCAAGTTCTGGATTGAGTCCTGCTAGGAACTCAAATAGCCTTTCTTTGTCAATGCGTTTTTTAAACAGGGCAGCATCCTCAGCACACTTCCAGGCATCTTCATTAGTCAGATCCAATTCCTGCCAAAGAGCAGTCATTTCAAGATAATAATCATTAAGGTTACAGGAACCCTGACTCATGTGCCGCAATTTAGTTCTGATTTCAAACATTTGAGAAACATTTTCTCTATCAGAATATGCCTCTTGTACAGCCTCCCATATCTCTCTTGCAGTAGGTAGATACATAAAGCTCCTTTTTATTGTTGGAGTCATCACATTAATAAGCCAGGAAGCCACCATCGAGTTTTCATTTTTCCAAAGGCGCAGAGCTTTTGGAGTCGAGCCATCTGGAATCACAGAATCGCCATTGAGGAAGCCCAGTCGTCCACAACCTTCGATAGAGAGCTTCATCGTCTGTGCCCACTCCCGGTAATTGTCTCCGGTCAGTTTTTCAGAGATGATGAGGACGTTTGAGCCCTCTAAGCTCGGCATCGACGCGTACGATCCCCCCTTCTGGCTCGAAATCAGACTGTCGAACCCCCGAGAATCACTCGCAGAGTGGTTCGTTCCTTCTTTCTGATTCGGAATCATGCTATCGGAGTCTCTCGGGTCAGTCGCAGATCGTGTCTGGGCGTCGTGTACCGCTCCAGTCGGCTCCATCTCCGTTTCCGAATCAGATAAGTTTTCGATCTCTCCCTCAAGCTCTGATACCATGTGAGAGAGAGTCGATTGAAATGCTTCAATTGTATATATCCAAACATGAACATGCGATTTACAATATATACACAGTGCTAGGCTAATCTAATCCCTGATTTCTAGCCTATGACTAGGGAAGGAATAATCACCATTAACTCTAATGGTCAGAACCGAAGGAGAAGGGATAATAATAAAAACAAATCAAGCCTTTACTATTTACACAATTAATGGGATTTCCACAGAATTACAGAGATGCATCAGTGGCCAAGTCAACTGAGTTTGCATTTCAACCCATTCATAAGAAGCCAGCTCGTTTACAAAGTCATATACCCACCCAAGTCATTCAAACTCAGATTAATCTATACAAGAATTGGAATGAAAAAGTTGAAGCTAACAATTTGACAGGAGAGAAACAGAAGCTTCCATTCCTTCCAGCTTGAAGTTTGAACTTTTAGGGTGTATTTGGTTAAAATTAGACAAAATTGATTGTGAATAAAATTGATTTATATTTTTACTTTGAGTATAATTGATTATATTTTATGGTATAATTAATTTATAAAATTGATTAATAAGATTGATTTTGAGTGCAATTGAAAAGTACAATTTAAAAAAAAAACCCAAAACCATAATTTTGTGAAAATATATCCAAACACCTCTATTATATGCCAAAATTAATGAACTCAAAACCACAGTTTTCTTAAAAATATCCAAACACCATTGTTGCATACTAAAATTAAGAACCAAAAACCATGAGTTTTAAAAATATTCAAACAGCCTTGTACATGCTGAAATCCATCATGAATCAAAAACCATAGTTATCTTATAAGTTACAATTACCTAATTTTCAATTCAGTTTTCCTATTATATTTTCCTAAAAGTTCATCCAAAAGCCATTTTGTTACAACCCTGCCTAGAAGATTAATGAAACTACAAATTAACGAATGCAAAGTAGGCAATAAATTGGGGAAATATGAAGGTTTTGCTATTAATGCTTGAAAAACCAAATCAGAATTGCAAGATAAAAGATAGAACAAAACATAACAAGGTCCTTCACCAGTGTTTGAGAGACCAGCACTCTCCTCACAGCTTTCTAATCTCTAAAACACAACTGAGAGCTCCCAAAAACCAGATACAAATTATTAATAACAGCCAAAAAGTGACCCACATGTCATGCCTGAGTATAAAGCCACTTTATAGTATCATTGCCTATCCCTCATAACCTGAACCTGTCACTTCATGCTGCTCTAACCCTTGTTTCTTCCTTAATTTCCTTGTATAAACAGCATCTATATCATTACTCTCCTTTAAAAGTTTCAGGTTGTCCCCAAGGGGAAAAATAGGGAATTTGATGGAGACAGTGGCAGCATCTTCCCACAAACTCTCAAACTCCAATAGATCTTTCAATTTGACTAAAACTTCCGGTATGGAAGACAACCATGGAAGAAGAGATGAAGGCCCTTGAAAAGAATGGCACTTGGGAAGTTACTGATCTTCCTAAAGGAAAATCTGTTGTAGCATGTAAGTTGATCTTTACTAAGAACAATTCAGATGGCAGCATAAATAAACACAAAGCCTGATTAGTAGTAAGGGGGTTCACTCAAACCCATGGGATTGATTACCTCAAGACTTTAGCACCTGTGGCAAAATTCAACACCATCAAAGTGTTGGTCTCAATTGCAGCAAATCTTGATTGGCCACTATATATCAAATGGATGTGAGAAATGCATTTTTTGCATGGATCTTTAGAAGAAGAGCTCTATATGGAGATATCACATGGCTTCAAATATGAGAAGAACGAGAACAAAGTTTGCAAGCTTTACAAGTCATCATATGGTCTAAAACAGTCTCCTAGGCTGTGGTTTGAACACTTAACGAAGGCTGTGTAGAAGCATGGATATAAACAGTGTCAATTTGATCACACATTGTTTACCAAGATAAGTGGTGATAGGGGAAAAAAAAAAGAAACAGATTGTCTATGTAGACCATATTATTATTATAGGTAACAATCTCAGCGAAATTGAGCAACTGAAGGCACTACTTGCATCAGAATTTGACTTTGAGGGAAAAGACCTCAGTACTTTGAGGTATTTTCTAGACACGGAAGTGGCACATTCCAAGGATAGCACCTCAATATCACAACAGAAATATACTCTTTATCTCCTACAACAAACTAGTATGTTGAATGGAAAATGAAGACAGGATTGTTAGTTAGTTAGTTGACTAAGAGTAGCCGTTGGAGGAGGACTACAAATAGGAGGGAATACCTATTGTAAATGGAGATTATGGCTTGAATAATATAGCAAGTATTTCAGATTGCCCTCCTTGTTCTCTTTTTTAATCTTTGTTCTCCTCTCTTCTGCCCTCTAAACTCTCTCTATCTCTCTTCTTCTTCCTCTTTCTCTTCTCTCTTCTAGCTCTCTTTCTATCTCTATCGCAATTACAGAGAAATATCAGTATCTGGTTGAAGCAGGTGCTTGAAGAGTTAAAGAAAAGTGTGAACTTGCCTATCAGACTTGAATAGCATGGCTACAATTAACCTCTCACACAATCCAATTCAACATGATAGAACCAACCATGTTGAAATTGATCGGCATTTCATAAGATAGATGATGGTATAATTCATCTCCTTATGTTCCTTCCAGAGAAGAAGTAACAGATATTCTCATCAAGGGATTGGCTCGAGACAAGTTTGAGCACTTTATTGGCAAGTTGGACATGACCAACATGCATGATCCAACATGAGGAGCATGGGATTCATATAGTAATGATGTAAATATATTTGTAATTACTTCCTTTAAATAGGATAGATCAGTTTTAACTTTTATTTCCTATTTCCTTTCCTGTATCCCTTGACTTTCAGACTCCTCATTTATTGGCTAGATTGTATTATTCTGTATATATTGGCACTGTTTGGGATGAATAAAATTATTGAAGGAATATTTCTCCCTCTTCCTGAATACAATACCTATCTTGGCTCCACCAATTAGCCTTCATTTGGTGGTCTAGGTTTGAGCATTGCGCCATTGTATCAACACATTCTTGATGCTCTTAAACCATGGTAATCCCAGCGGCATGTCATGAGTATGAAGCTCCATTACCCTTGAGTCAAAAGCAAAATCTTCCCGCTACATTCTCAATTTAAAGTTCTTTCACATGCCATACACCTTTAGTTTTCTACCTCCAGTTATTTCCACTACAGACAATCCCGTCCCACTCCTTCCAGCCCAATTCTTGGCCAAATCATAGTCCAAGAAGTAGTGAGCATTTCCATTACCAATGAGAATTTGCACTGAGCGAAGTTAGAAGAGACAGAGGAGATTACACTAGTAGCTAACTTCATTCTGTTTTCTCTTTTTTCAAGCTTGTACTCACCAATAAATAATTTAAAAGACAAGAATGAAGGAAATAAACGTTGAATCATAGGCACATAATATAGAGAGCACAAGAGTACCTGTATGGCAAGCTCGCTTATGTATAAATATAACATTGATCTGCAAAGGTAGACAAAAAAATGTGAAATTGAAGAAAAGAGTGACAAGCATCACATATGATTTGAACTTTTGAACATATAACATAATTTAACAAGACATCTTGCACTATTGAACTCAATTGGTCAAAGTAACAAGTTGAACCCGCTCTGGTCAAGACAACAACTAGAAAGGATCTAATCATGCATTTCAATCTATTTTTCTAGATTACAAATGCAAATGCAAGGTCAAGTTAACTGTGAGAAAATATTACACTTCAAAAAATTTGATTCTACATGCAAAATTCTTTACCTCACAATTTCAGTTTTCAACTTCCTACTGGAAATTTCTAACCTAATACAAAGCTTTGAGCTTAATCATCGTCTCAATCCTCTCCTATCACCTAGATTGAACAATGCAGTATGTATCTTATTCACGAGCAAAAATATGTTTGGCATACATGTATATGTTGCTATGCGCGAATACTATGTATGTGTGTAGTATATAATGAATCCTCTATTATACTTCATACTTTTCCAGTGATCAACGTTGAAAATATGGTCTTTGGCTCTACAAAGTGCGGCAGAGGAAGGTAAAAAAATGACATGTTTCAGTGACAGCTGTAGCCTTTAGGGCCATCATCATATCACATTAAGCCACATCAAACAATATCTCTGGTAACAAGCTTAATGTTCGCCGGTCTCTTGCATCAAAAATGACTGAATAACATTTTACTGTTATGATTTATTACCTCATCAAGGATGTGTGACTTCAGACCAGATCTGGTCACCTATATTTCCTATATCCATTGTTTATTTTTCTTCTAATTATTATACTTGATTCTTGGAATGAACAGCTAGGTTTGTGGCTTCCAATCCTTATTTGTGTCCCTGTTTTCTGTGATGAATAATTTCAAATTGTGGCTCTTGAAAATTACACTTAACATGAAGAACATATTGAACAAGGGATACTATTTTGAAGATAGAAATAAGATGGTTAAACTTTGGGAGACCAGAGAAAAAATTGAGAAATCATGCATCTTCAAAGGAACATAATATTAATTTGCCCAAAAGATTAGGGTATTGACAAGCTTGTTTGTTTCTTTGCATCTTGGCTACTGCATACATGCACCCATGCATGCATGCAAGCATATAAAATACCCTCCTGTATAGCTCTACTGTAGTCCTTTCAAGTATCCGCTAATGTTGCTTCTTTTATCAAAAATAAGAAAAAACTTTAAAATGACCAAGTAGACAAAAATAGTAACATAATTAGCCAACAAGGAACACATATGATAAGATAAGGACAGACCTCGTGTAGAATTCCTTTGCTGAAAATACAAGATTGAACATGACAGCATCCCCCACTACAGTATAAACCACACCAAATCTGACAAACCATCGGAATTCATAGACATAGACTCTAGTTTCAACAAGAATCAGAACCAGCATAGAGCACCAAGCAAGAGCCTCAACAATTAGTGAAACCATCTGTCAAATGAATATTACAGTTTAAGTGATCAAAGAAACCATTCTGCCATGAGAAAGCCTGAGGAGTTGAACAGTAGACATGACAAAGTTCACTACAAAAGAAGTCCATGTCTTTGATTGCATAACCAAAAGAACATAGAAAAAATGCCTCATGTTTCTAAATAAGCACCAATGAACCAAAATATACCAGCAAAAAAATAAAATAAAATAACATTGTAATCAAAGTGTCAACACATATAACACATTGCTTTTCTTTCATCACTGGTGCTCCATTAGGCGTGTGTCATTTTTCAGCGTGTGTCATTTTTCAGCGTGTGTCATTTTTCAAGATAACTATAATCTCACATCTACTATGTTGTATATTTACCAAAAGAAACATGCCACTGGAAATTAAATAAACAGGAAAAAGCCAAAGTTATAGAAGCACAAATTTAGAAATTAAAGCTCACCTCAAATGGAGCAAGACGAGTCTGCCCATCTAAATTTAAAACTGATAGGCCCACAACCAATCTGAATAATGGCTCTGCAGTGCAATAGCCAGCTAACAACCCCAAAACATAATTATAAAGCTTTGACCTCAAACAATATCTCTTGACGTTGAAATTCTTGTTAATCAACCATATTCGATAGAAGCACAAGCCAAAAAGGATCAAATGCGAAATGATGATCACAAGAGAATCAACAGCACAAGGAGTATAAGCACCAAAGGCATTCTGAACCACTTTTGTCCATAACCCATTTGCCACTGGCTGACAAAACCAATCCAATGGCTCAAATGCCATATTTGTCAGCACTTTAGCAGAGATATTTAAAAAAAGAACATCAACATGAGGATCCTGGAGCAAATAGGTAGAAAAAATTAGCTTCTTTTGCATATTAGTATCAAATGAAAGAATAACGCAAAACATGTATTCACATTTTGACCACCTTCTTCGCCTCAGCTATGAGAAAAGAAATTATTAGACTTGTAATATCTGAACTGTCATTGTTTGATATAATTACCTGCATACTTGAATTGCAATTTCCAACTTCGTTTTCGGAAAGCTGCACCTATTTTTCATGCTTTATGCATTACATGCTTATGTTGCACGGCGCAATATGAAAATCATCTTTTCCTTCAAAAGAAATCGCAACAGAAGGGTGTAGTGGTAAAAATCAAGAAAAATGGACAGGAACTAGAAATAAAAGAAAATCGAAATGAGAATTTGACAACCAAAGAGAATAGTTATTTTTTTCCTTTTTCCTCAAATAAATCCCGTTTTAGATAATTTAGTCCGAAATAGTTGACAATCGATTCGATACAACTGACAGGACTATAGATTTCAGGGTAATATTTCCAAGTTACAGAAGTCGCCATAAAATGGAACCAGAATCCAGAGGCAGGGATAAGATTCTCATACAAATTGACTAGAAGCATATTTAAAAAAAAATAGTGAAGCATCATGTAGCATTGGGAAGCAGTACAAGCTTTTGAAGCTAAGCTATGAAGCTCTTCCGCCATAACTGTGACAACCGAAAACAACAAAAAGGACCATGCAAAGAAGAGCAGAACTAATTCACGCGGATGAAAAAGATTGGAAAACGCGAAACAATTTGAGAATGATAAAGAGCGAGGTCACGGCGGCTGATCCGCCGGGAAATAGCACGACGACTTTTGGAGAGAGAGGGAATCTAACCTTGTGTGCTCGTGAGAATAGAGATGAGTCAAGAGCCACTCAAGAATGCATCCAAAAATGAAAAGCAAGTCATTATATTTCACTCAGCGCTAACGGCGTTAGTCTGGAGCGCTTCTTTTCTGTTTTTTAACAAGTTAAAATGTGCATTTTCTCAATTTTTTTTCATATCTTTCCGCCAAACTTCTTCCGATCTTGGTGGGTTTATTGCTGTAGTATCTATTAAATATTAAAAAAGTTATTAAATATTAAAATATTTTATTTTTCAAATACATATAATATTTAATGAAAATAAAGTTAGAAATTTAATAAGTTATTAAAAAAGTTGCTAAAATTTAAAATTATTTATTTTAATAAAAATATTAAAAATAATTTATAATTAATGTTAATAAATGCGTGACTTCCTCCTATAAACGGATAAAGTTGGCGTTGATTCACACGAGGCGTTGATTCACACGAGGATGCGTCATGGCTGACAATAATATCTGGGTTGTTCGCTTCTCTCCCTTTTTTACTTTTGGTTGCTATCTTTTAGACTTAGAATTTAATTAATAATTTTTTTAACAAAATTTTCAAACTTTTTGTTGGGCGAAAAACATGTTTGCTTTCCCAGTTTCATTCAAAATCACAAGCAGAATCTGATGGGCCACTGACATTGAGATTGTTATGCCCCACAGGGAAAATGTGGTTCATGATTACCTTTATGCTCCGTAAATGAGGATGAGATTCCATGCTTCTTGGCCAAAGGAAAGAAACTGAAAATGGCAGGGCATAACAAAGAATAAATTTATTGCTCTACTATTGCTATTTATACCACAGATTCTCAATTGAATAAAGGGGAAATGATTATAAAAAAAAACTCCTAAATATGCACATAACAGCTAAATATCATGAGATATAATAATTATTTTTTAGTTTTTAGAAACTTGTCTAACATTTTTATTTTCTGTAAAATGACATAGTTGTCTCCATTTTATAAAGTAGTAACTAAAAGTATTCTTTTAAGAACTGACTTTGTTTTTTGAAAAAATAACTACAACTGATTAGCAAATTACTAATTGTTCTGTGCAAAATAAATTTATCAATGAAATCCTCAAGAACTAAAAAATAATTATTACATTTCATGGTGCTAATTGTAATTTGTACATTTTAATCTTGGAAGAACTTCCACCACTCATTTTTCCCATGTGATTTTCATGAAAATAAGGATAAGAAGGAAGGAGGAAAGCAAACAATCAACCAATCATAAGAAAAGGAAAGGATTGATTAGATTGAAGGGTTAGATTTGAATTATTGGAAATCTAAGGGTTGGAATTGCACAAGAAGGCTTATGTCTTAGCTTTTGCCTATAAATAGAAGCTCTCCCATCCTTATTCCTCCTCAATTTCATACAGCAGTTATGCCAAAATGAAAACCTAGAGTCCAAGAGAGATAAAGTGAGAGCACGCAAGTTCAGAGAGGGCTTGTAACTTGGGTAACTTGTGTTTACAATAATGAATGACAATGATCCTTAGGAGTATGATGGTGAATAAATCTTCATTCAACAATTAAATTGCTAAGGTAATGCTCTTATTGGCCAAATATAGTTCAAGACCATCCCAAACAAAGCTAACGAAGCCACACACACAACCCTAATCATTAGTAATCATGTAGTGAACTAATGCATCGTTTGGTACAATGGAAATGATTTTGATGGAAATGGAAATGGATGTGAAGATAGAAATGGACATAGAAGTGAAAATAGAAATGAGGTTTAAAAATATGTTTGGTATATTCATGAAATTCTGGTATAATATTTAATTAATATGTATATTTTAAATGTAAAAATACTAAAGTACCCTCCAAAATTAGGGGGAAAATCCCTCGACCACCTACCTAAAAAACCACTGGCCAAATCTCCATCCAATCAATAGCAACAATCCAGAAAAATCAAAACCCAAATTTTGGAACAAATCGATGATCTATGCAAAGGAATGAAGAAATACGCAAATATACAAAAGATATAGGCGATGAGATCGACGTGAATATTCTCTCTCCAAATCTGGTTCTTGCTATTACTGTTGATGGAGATCATCATCATCATCATCGCCATCACCGTTGACGAAAAAGGAGGATGAAGAACAAGTGTTAGCTGTATTCTCTCTCCATATCTGGTGCTTACCATCGCTGTCAATGAAGGAGATGGAGAAGAGGTTGTCGCTGTCACCGTCGTCTTTGTCCAGTCCAGCAAGTCAATCATTAGAAGGTTGAGATAAGAGAGGGTTAATACAAAGAAGAAAAAAATCAAGAGGGAGGGATAAAAAATAAAAAATGCATCATGGAATTGGAAAACTTGGTTTTTATTGTGGAAATGATTTCCATCAATTTTGATGGAAATGAACTCCATGTGAAAACTCAATTCAATCTGATATTAGCCAACCAAATAGGATAAATTTTCAATTCCATTTTCATATCCATTTCCACCCTCCTAATTCCATGATACCAAACATCATTAAGCAACTATTCCAATATTAAGCAACTATTCCAACAACCAATCAACACAACAAGAAGTATCCTCAATCAAAATGACAAAGGCATATAATCAAACATCATGTGTGCAGCATTACAACTTCACTAATTTAACTATGAAAAGATAAATTACAAGTAGAAAAATTAAGAGGAACTAGAGTCAAGGAACCCTTAGCAATTGAAGTCCATGAACTCAAGCTTCATACATCTTCCTCCAAGGAATCAAATGCTTCTAACTACACATCATTGCTGTCTCAATTCCAGCTTAACAAATGCAGAGTAGTTCAGCCATTGATGGAAGATTGAGTGACACATTCTTGATGAGAATTGAAGAATTCAACCAAACCAATTTGGAGGATCTTGTGCTACTTAGTAAGGAGCAATCAAGACAGTTTTGAATTTGGACTGGAAGTAGAAATAATGTAGAATCTAAGAGAGATAATCAGTGGAAGAATAGAGAGATCGAGAGAAAATGAGAAAGTTGAGAGGGAATTCTGAATGAATAATGGAGATGTGATTGTATCAATTTTTGAAGAGAGTGATATGAATTTTTAATGCTCTGAGTGTGAATCTAGAAATGAGGGAATTAGATGTGAAAAATGAGTCTAAATTTCTAAGTGGAGGGCACATGAATAGTAAAGGCGGCGGGATAAAAAAATAATATGGATGTGAATATGAAAATATGAATGTGCTAAAAGAAAATATTCAAAAAAATAGGAGAAGAAAAGTAAAAAGAAAATACGGGAAAGGAATTTACCACTTTCTCTGCTTGCTTCTTCTCTTTTCCATTCACTACCTACATATAAAATAATAAAATTAATAGAAAATTCATTTTAGGAAATTAAAAATAATATTCAATAAGAACTGAAAAAAATATGCAATAAATCCTAAAAATTTCCTTAAAATATTTCTTTGCCCTCTAATCACAAATATTACCCAATTATTTCAAATTATATCAAAGCAAATACTAAAATTCTAAGATAATAGAGGTAAAAGTGTAAAATATGTGAATTATCATAATCTTCCAAAATAATTTATAAACATAGATATACATTTTCATCCCACTTGACAATAAAATTTCACAAATTATATTTATGGTTTCATAATTCATTTCCAAGTAAGATTTTCATCTAAAGCAACATATAACCAATCACATAACACGCGCACAAACAAATTACTAAAGGTTACTTTGTGCTTCCACAAAATATTTTTCCTTTCAAGTAGTTCCTTACTACAACCACCTTCAACACCACAATTTACATAAATTATAATGCTAATCATTGCTATTTTCAAGTTCTGAAACTATATACACCATAATTCAAGAGTTAGGTTGGTTAACCCTCATTCCCAAACACTATTCCCCACATTCCAACTTTCAAACTTACTAGTCCCTACCATCATTACACTTACAACTCAACTATTTAGTCCTTAGTCATCATGATCTCACCAGAAACTTACCCAAACAAGTTAGGCTTTCAAATTTAGGAGTGTAGCATCCTGAATATTAATTCAAAAAAACTAGTTGCTAATTAAGGGTAAATTAATAATTAGTGAATTAATTATGATTTGGATGTGAGTTGATATTTTGTATTGATTAGTTGTTGTGTTAATAAGATTGGAGGGTGGAATGGTAGTTTGGGGAGAAACGCACAAGCATAAGTGAAATTAAACTCACTATGTCACGCATCACAGTTAGCGCTATGTGCGCTGTAACACATGGCACGTTTTTAGAAAAATAATTGTGCCTTGTTGAGTCTTGAATTGTGTTTACTTTTTCATTAGCCCTCTTATTTAAATATGCTTTTGATGAAGTTGGGGTCCCACATTTTGAAAACAATTCAAGGGCTATTACTCTAATACTATGTGATTATTGTTTGATGATTGTATATGGGAGAATGGTAAATTCTGAATTAAGTAGGGATTTTATAGTTTGGTATCAATTTTCTTTTGTTTTGGTCTCTTTATGCATTGAATCCACTTAATTGGCAACTTTTATACATTCATTATTTTCTTTCTAACCTCTAACCACCTGTTTACTGACTTTATCTAACTTTACTGCTTAGGAGGAGAGAAAGGTACATAAAGCTATAGTTATCGTGTAGTAACTATGAGAGGATGTGGTAGAATTTCATAGCAAACACGAGGTCAGAGTGCCCAAGATGTGTATGATCCGGAGGTGCCATCGAAACAACCCCAAGGGAATAACCTAATAATGGCATGCATATTGGAAGTAATGCTGGACATTTGGCGAAGTTTAGCTGGCCATGATACCCTAAATCATGATAGGAATCACGAGGAATCAAGGCCATAGCAAGAAGCGAGGCCTAAGGCTGAGGTGAGAGTAGAAATTGAGCAGCAATTGAAAGGACAATTAAGTGGGTCAGCGACCTCCCACGCTTTAGGGAGTATGCTAGTGACCAATAAGGAAGATCAAGAGGTTCTTATAGACCAGGTTTGGAGGACTTTCTCACGGTTGAATTCGCTAACTTTTAATGGTAGTATGAAAGAAGGAGATGTGGAGAAATGGATTGAGAGAATGG